ACACAGGCACAGGAAATGATGCAATCTTCTCTCCCTGGAGCACATTTGGTTCCAGAGAGAGAAGAAAGCAGTAAAACCACGTGAGTAAAAGCACCACACTATTACTGTACAGAAAAGCACAGCTAAGACTTCACGTTTTCAGTCAACTCCCGGTCATCCTTCAGTTAACATTTTTGCACACGCTCCCTGTCACCAGTGTCATTAGATCAACAGTGTACAGATTTCTTTTTTACCAATCACTGTATTAGTGTCACAGGCAAATTACTTCACACAAATAGCAAAAGTATTGGCGTCAGTCAGAGTCCCTGTCCCAGATAGCAATATAGAAATCAGAGATGTTCACTTAACCCATTGTGTGTCTGTCCACTACATCAGTCATCACATTTAGAACCCTTTGATTGCCAGGAACACGCTCACATATACAATAAACCCCCACTGTAGTATAGTGTCTGAATGGTTCAATATCTTTGATCAGATATATACTATACCAGCTTTCACAATAGTATAGTGTCCCCAAAAATGCAGCGTTAGTGGGATCAGCCCAGACACCTGCCAGCATCTGCGTTTAGCCCCTACACTTAACCCCACACCCCCTCTCCCCCAGCAAGGGAAAGCTCATACAGAATCAGAATCAGGCTCAGAATACGAACCTGTGGCACCCTGACAGATAGCTCAGATGATGGAGTAGAGGTGCCTGCTAAGGTCAGGTGTACCTCACTCCGTTCCCAGGTTGCTGAGGTGTTACAATTGCATTGATGATTCTAATATGCAGCAGAGTGCCAGTTCTAGTGCCCGCTCTACCTTTTGGTGAACTGGCGAGCACCAGCAGTGGCCTGGTACATTCTGGTCTGATTTTTACTGCAGTATCACTTGGTGACATGGCGAGTCCCATAAGTGAAAAATATCAAGTACAAGCTGGTGAGGTGGCTAGATCAAGTAGTGCCCCTACACTTAACCCACTCCCCCTCTCCCCCCGCAGCTCACTTACCACCAAGAATTCGAACAGAGGCCCGTAAAGCCCATAGTGTCCTTCTGGATGTGATTGCAAATCCTTATTGGCAGCCCACAAATTCTACAGCACCCATTCATCCCCCATTCACTGCCCAACCCGGAATTCAGGTGGAAACAGCAAATTTCCCCTTGATTTTTTGGAGCTGTTTTTCACGGAAGAACTGTATGGATTGATTGTGAATCAAAGCAATTTATATGCAAACATTTTCACCGCCAACCCAAATTCAAACCTTGCCAGACCTTTTGCATGGATACCTATTACGGTTTACAAATTTAAAGTTTTTTTGGGCCTAACCCTCAACATTACTAAAACATTAGTTGCGGTTGTATGGGTCCACAGACCTGATTCATCATATGTCTGTGTTCTCTGCTGCCATAGCCAGGTAGAGATATGAGAATATAATGCAATTTATGCATTTCAATGACACTCTGTCATCCTCGGGGTGACCCTGAATATGATAGGCTCGACAAAATCCAGCCCCTCGTGAATTACCTTAACCTGAAATATGCAGATGTGTATATTTCCCAGCAAAATGTCTGCGTTGATGTGTCCCTCATTAATTTTGCTGACTGCCTTGCAGTCAAACAATTTCTCCCCAGCAAGCGTGCCAGATATGGGGTCAAAATTTATAAGACCTGTGAGAGGGCAACAGGCTATACATGTAATTTTCAGATTTACGAGGGACAAGATAGTTTTACGTGGAGCGCCCTGGATGCCCAGACTACATGGGGAGCAGTGACAAGATAGTTTGGGACCTGGTGTCATCCTTTTTCCATATGAGGTACCACTTATACCCCACTTAAATGGCTCATGTGTTAAAAATTTCTGCACCCACCTCCCAATACCAGAGTTCTGGGGGGCTATCCACTCACCTGCAGAAAACAGAGTACATTACAGCGGTTATGAATTATTTCATCATTATATTTTGAGCATGAGGGTTTATGTCACTCCTGTCTACTAGCATTGATCCTGGTATGCTCCACTGGCACTGTGGCTGGCAGGCTCCACCTTTTGCCCTGGTTACTGATACTCTTGCCAGTGTCACCATTTGCCAAACTCTGCTCCTCTGAGCCCTTGCAGCCGGTCACTGGCACTCCAAGTCTGCTCTGTTGCCAATTCTGCTCCTTAAAGTGCTTGCTTCTAAGCACAACTATACCCTGTTTGCCAAAATCCTTCGAGCACTTGCATCTTGGCACAGCTACTTCTGGGAAACGATTTGCCAAATTCTGCTTCCTCACTAATCACCAGGCCCTTTCTACTGGTAGTTCTATCGCATTTTCTTGCTACATCAGCCAGTATCTGTGGAAGTGACCTGGGGTCGGGATGCAGACAAGTCCAAACCCCTGTTATGGAGTCCCTAAAGAATGCTGCCTGTCCTTAAGACTCTGCTCCTCGGTTAAAACCAGTCATAGTAAGTGTAGGATCCAGTTTGTTTTGTTTAGCTCAGTTGATGACACCTGTTATACTTGTATAACTGTATAGCTGTACAAAACAAAATCTTTCCTGTGGCCCTGACTTGTGCTTGGTATGTGGAGATTGGTGGAATGATGTTAAACATTTGGTTATCATGCAGTACTAACTGTACCTTCTGTATAACCATTTTTTTTTATCTACACACATTTATCAGGTGTCCCCGTCCAACCTTCCCTGTAATTTGACTTTATATTACTGGGCTCGCTCCCCACAATTCGTAAGGGAGTTATTTGCTTCGTACTCCTGGTAGGTAAAGTGCACTGGAAAATGACAACTTGCAGTACTGGGCAGATTACAACATCTAAATCTACTTAAATTTTATGCCACAGAGGTAATCCTTGTCTATTTTCCTGGTGTGCTGTAAAATTTGAATGCAAATATATTTTTAAAAAGTAATTTTGAGGGGTCCTTCCCAATCTGCATCCCTCTAACCTATACCTTTTGTATGGTTTGCCTATGTATTGCACACTGTACTCATTGTGAACACGGCACTGATAATGCTTTGATTACACGTTTACATTCTTTCAAGTCCTGATTACAAATTAGCCTACCTATGTTACCATAAAAGTAAAACTGTAATCATAATGTGATATTTACAAATGCAAGTGTATATAAAAAATTCCAATAAACAGAACAGTTATTTGGAAACATGTTGAGTGTATCTTTTTGTGTCTGTTCCCTACTGCAGTAGGTATTATTAATTTGGAACCACTAATCACTATGAGGATAGGAGTTGCCTATCTGTAAAATTTCCGGAACAATACCTAATTAACTGAACTGTTGAATTATGTTATCTTTGGTACACTGCAAAGTATTTTTACTACTTCTGTACTACTCTGTGATGTTGTCACAATAACTAACCCAGCTCCTATGAGGTGTCCTAAACCTTACCTTCACTGCATTCTATTGTACCTTGTTATATGCTTTCACTTTCCCTAATAAAGATATTACAAAAGAAAGACATAGTTCAGTACCTTGGAGGTGACCTCACTAAAATTATTTCTTGTACATTAATGAAAGGCTTTCCCTTGCCAAAATTGTGCACAATTTTATATGCACATACATGCTTAAATATTATTTAAAAGAACAATAAATGAACTCTTATTCACATTTTACTTACGAATATTGTCTGTGTTTTCCCTCACAATGTCTGTTTTTAAGAGATTATCAGCCAACACAAAAGCTCCTTCTTCAACTGTGTCAAGAAGCATGGTGGCTGCTCGCAGCTGGTCCTTTGCAGTCAGGTCTTGCCATGCATTCTGAGCTTGCGGTTGGAGGAGATTGTTAACAGTCTCAACCATTGCCTACAAAGTACAATAAATAAATAAGGAATACAGTTACTACGCAGTTTGAACAAAAGCATCAGAAGTTAAACAAACTAGCTTACATGAGCATTCTGATGGAAAACAAAGGAAACAACCTAGTATTAATGTCAGAAAGAACACTATGTAGTAAACAATACATACAAACTGAGGCTGTTCCTCAATAACAAACATAGCTAAATGATATATTACTATTAGTAATAGACTTCACAACTCGTTCCAAAAAAAATATCCAAATGCAATGCTTTTGGTTTTCCTAGTTTTGGTTCACAAAAACATCAGATTCCAGAATCTAAAATATACAGTATATACAGCTTTTACCTAGCCACCCCCATACGTTTTCAGCCCTGTTGGGATAACACATAGCTTATGTTTGTTACTTCTTCTAATTCATATAGTATAAATTTAAAGCATATTTAAAAACTGCAGCCTACCATTTAGATCCTCTTTTTTGACTATCCTAGCACTGAAAAGTCCTACTTAGTTCTCTTTGTTTAGGAAGTGGAAGGGGAGCTGTGTTTGCCAAAATTAACTCCACTAATCATAAAGCACAAACATTTTTTTCCAATATGACTTCACTTGTGGACCTAAAACACAATCACAGACCTTTCAACAAGTATCTGATCCTTCCCTTCACTTACTATGCACTGTCTATCCTCAGAAAAAACCCAAGAATAAAAATAGGCGCATTCTTCCCAATTTGGACACATACTGAAAATGTATGTTTGCGTATCTTTTTAATATTTGATTGTTTTAGCAAAACTTGACAGTGTTGAAGCCAAATACTTGTTAATTACTCAACACAGAATGAAAGACGATGCAAACGAAAGAAAAAAACATCTATTTTAGGTTAGAATTAATAACACATAGCAATTTGACTACCAACTACACCACATACAGTATTATGCCATTTTTAGCCACAGCATCAACTATCCCTTTTGTGCTGTACATCAGTGACATTACATACATAATTTTATTTTGCTATTTTAATGCCTTCTAGATAGTTCTACACACCAATATGTTGCCCAACACACAGACCTATACTCAGATGATAGAATTTGTCATAGTTCTACACAAAACCAAGTACTGAGGGTTATTCCCTCATGGTCAGTTCATCTAAATCATTTATAGGATGCATTACAGCATATTAGGTATTTACTTCAGGCTAATAAATAGTTCTGTTTAAAGTGTTACTGAACCCACAACAGTAAAATCAGTCTGTATATGCAGTAAATCATGCTTGCTATACTCACTGTGGAACCTAAGGGGTTAATCCTCTCCATTATGTAAAAACACTGTTTGATCCTGACTTCTCTGATCCTCACCTTCTTCCAATGTCCCCCTCTTATCTCCTCATAAGACATATCATGGGGAGTCATTCTGCACATACTCAGTTTGGTATGTATTGCTAGAGATGCTTTCTTTTTCTTGGGAGAGTGCATGTGATCAGCACTGGGCCAATTGGCACTGTCCAGACAAAGGTCAGGGGTTCTGCATCCTCCAAAGCAGAATGAAAACTCCTCCTACAAGCTTTAAACAGTGCTTGGCTGGACACTAATAGAAGTCTGCTCTAACTGCTGATGAGAAAAGGTATTTAGCAGTTTATATTTACTCAAATAATTGCATTTCCATGTTCTGTGTACAGTAGGAGACCAGATATAGTGAATGCAGGATCCTGGGTTTAGTAACACTTTTTTTTAGCTTTTCAGAGGCTTTTATTCAGAGTCAGCTTTGCTTTGGAGTATTGGAGGCATGAGATATCCCAGGATTCACTAGGAAACCAACAAGCGAAATGGAAAGACGTCATCAGCAGTCACTTCCGTTTCCTGTGGATATATTCTGGGAGTGTCTGGTGCAGACGCCACATCTGGTGTGCAGCGTGGAGCAGCAGGAAGGTTAACGGGGTCCGGACCAGAGCAGAGCAACTAAAAGATGGCACATGTGGTGTGCAACATAGAAACGCTATAGCAGAAGGTGAGCGGGAACCAGAGAGACAGGACTGAGCAATATAGCGGGAGTTGAGTGGGGACAAGAGAGAGAGGAAGATCCGTAAACCAGAGGATCAGGAGAGATGGAGGTTACTAGTGAGTGGGGGATCAGCAGAGCTGGGGGTACTAGTGAGCAGGGGATCTGCAGAGCTGGAGATTACTAGTGAGTGGGGGATCAGCAGAGCTGGGGGTACTAGTGAGCAGGGGATCTGCAGAGCTGGAGGTTACTAGTCAGCAGAGCTGGGGGTACTAGTGAGTGGGGGATCTGCAGAGCTGGGGTTACTAGTGAGTGGGAGATCAGCAGAGCTGGGGTTACTAGTGAATGGGGGATCAGCAGAGCTGGGGGTACTAGTGAGTGGGAGATCTTCAGAGCTGGAGGTTACTTATGAGTGGGGGATCAGCAGAGCTGAAGGTTACTAGTGAGCGGGGGGATCAGCAGAGCTGGGGGTACTAGTGAGCGGGGGATCAGCAGAGCTGGGGGTACTAGTGAGTGGGAGATCTGCAGAGATGGGGGCTACTACTGAGCGGGGGATCTGCAGAATGAGTGCACTAATAAGCTAGGAACCTGCCAAACAAGGGTACTAATGAGCTGGGGATCTGCGAGTATGGATACTACAGAGCCATGGTTCTTCTGGGCCCATTTAAAACAAATAGAAAATCAACACACACAGGGCATTTGCCATGCTCCATTAAAGCATCACTGAAGCATCAAAAAAGCCTGTTGAAGCTGTAGGCGCTTTAATGTGTGTTAAAGTTGAAGGAAGTGTAAATGGGCGGAGATTTGTGTGTTCCTGGGACACAGTCATAGATCATCACTGGAAGATGATGTGATATTCGGGGTAGGCCTGGATGTCATTAAATATCACAAACATTGAAGGGTTCTGGACATTATCCGTCATGCTGTCATAGAGGTTGGTGGGGTTTGCTGGATTTTGGCTGGAGGTGCTTTCATCTCTTTGCTTCCAACACAGTAGAGTCCGGTGAGAACGTGGGCCAGGTACATGTGTCTCTGTCCATTTCCATCAGATGAGGAATATTTTTCATAAGCAGAGTAACTTGCATTTACTGCAAAATAAGTTCCATGTCCATAAACAGCAGTTGTTCGTAAATCCAAAGAATGTAATTTGTATGTGAGTTGTAGGCAAGGGGCCCAATATGAGTTATGGGCTGGAGGCTTGATGAAGAGACTCCTGTGAAAGCTGAGCTGCGGAAGGGATCCCTCACTTAGGAGCATTGAAGGGGAGCTGGGTGGAATCTGCTGCTTGGACATTGCAAGAAGAACCCATCAATTATAGTATGGTGCCAGGTATTGTCCTGGATAAGAAATGTTCACATTCCTGTGCTATCCGTTTCTGTTTAAACATGAGGCATGTGCATGGAACCACATAGGTTAATATACAGTTATGGTCACAAATATTGGCACCCCTGCATTTATGTCAGATAATTCACCACTTTGCCCAGGAACTGTTGCAATTAGAAATATTTAGGCATTTATTTATTTTGTTTGTAATGGTATGACACAAATAGTGGAGAAACAAGAGCCAAATCTGACACATTCCACACAAAACCCCAAAAATGGACTGGACAAAATTATTGGCACGCTCAATTTAATATTTGGTACCACACCCCTTGGAAAAAATAACTGAAATCAATCACTTCCTGTAACCAGCAATATGTTTCTTACACCTTCTAATGTAATTTTGGACCACTCTTCTTTTGCCAGCTGCTCCAGGTCTCTCAGATTGGAAAGGTTCCTTTTCCCAACTGCTGTTTTGAGATCTCTCCACAGGAGCTCTATGGGATTGAGATCTGGACTCATTTCTGGCCAGTTCAGTACTCTCCAGTGCTTTGTTTTAAACCATTTCTGGGTGCTTTTGATGTGTGTTTTGGGTCATTGTCTTGCTGTAAGACCCATGACCTCTGACGGAGACCCAACTTTCTGACATTGGTTCCTACATTGAACCCCAGATTTCATTGGTAAGCTTCATATTTCATAATGCCATACACACTGTCAAGACATCCAGGGGTTTATTTACTAAAGCTGGAGAGTCCAAAATAAGACTCCCTTCTGCATAGAAAACCAATCAGCTTCCAGGTTTCATTGCCAAAGCTTCATTGAACAAGCTGAGGTTAGAAGCTGATTGGTTTCTATGCAGAAGGGAGTCTGATTTTGGACTCTCCAGCTTTAGTAAATAAACTCCCCAGTGTCTGAAGCAGCAAAGCAACCCCAAAACATCAGTGAACCTCCACCATGTCTGGCTATAGGGACTGTATTATTTTCTTTAAAGGCCTCATTTATTTTTTGAAAACAGTAGAATGATGGGCTTTACCAAAAAGCTGGAATTTTGTTTAGTCTTTAGTCTGTTAGGATTTTGGCTTCCTAAGGTAAGTTTTGGCAAACTCCAATTTAGCTTTGTTTATGTTTCTGTGTCAGTAGTGGGGTCCTCCTGGGTCTTCTATCATAGCGTTCCTTTTCATTCAGATTGCAGCGTATAGTGCGAGCTGACAAAGTTGTACACTGTGGCTGAAAGTCAGCTTGAATTTGTCTGAAAGTTGATCGAGATTCTTTATCCACCATTCGAACAATCCTTTGTTGCAATCTTTCATCAAGTTTTTCTCTTTTGTCCACATCCAGGGAGATTAGCTACAGTGCCATGTTGCACACAGTGGACACAGGAGCATTAAGATCTGTTAACTGATACAGGTGAGTTTAATTACAAATTACAGGAGCATCACAAAACTTATAATGCAATTATTTCTTGCAATTTTGAGGTGCTAATAAATGTGTCCAGTCCATTTTTGGGTTTCTGTGTGGAATGTGTCACATTTGGCTTTTTGTTTCTCCACTTTTTTTTGTGTCAAACCAATACAAACAAAAGAAATAAACATGAGAATGCTTAAACATTTGTAATTGCAACAATTTTCTGGGTGAAGTGGCGCATTATCTGACAGAAATGCAGGGGTGCCAATATTTTTGGCCATGACTGTATGACCTCTGTCTGTAGTCTAAGAAATTACACTTTTTGTGAACTATTGTACATATCCCATAATCTCTGGATTTCTCAGTCTAAAGCCTTGTACATGCGATGTGAATGTCAGAGGAATGGTCTTTTCTTTTTTTGCATGCTAGTCTCATGTTGAAAATGAAGAGGGTACTAAAGTTATGAATATTCTTGTACAACAGAATGCAACTTTGGAAGTGATGTAATGTAATGTATTGTGTTGTAAAGTATTTTTTCATTTCCAAGCATGTGTGGTCTTGGTCACTCGGATGAATACAATACTGATAAACGAAAACTGTTCGTTCTGGTATCGTGTGAGAAACATTTTTGTGCTTGTCCCTTTCGGATAATTTCACATGAACTGTTGAGATCGGATCTCAAAAGATGTGTACTAATGATCAGATTGTCAGATGATCACTCCAAAAGCTCATCCTTTGTACTAGGCTTAATGCTCAGCAGGTGAGAGCTAAACAACAATTAGATTTGATACAGACACAAACAGCAATTAACAGAAAGACCACCATTCAGTTTCTCATCATACTAGTACTCCCACTCAAGTCCTCTGGAAAAACATTGTTTAATTAGGAAAAGTTCAGCAAAGGACAACAAAAAATAACAAGGGCAATGAATGACCTCTTCTATGAGAACTGATTACTCAATGAATAATTCAATCTGGTGAAGAGTCACGTACGAGAGAATATGATTACATTATACAAATATATCAAAGATGACTTCAGTAACTGTGGATAAATGTTTACTCTAAGGTCCCTGAAGAGGGCAAGTGGCCATGATCTGATGTTACAGGATAGGAGGTTTAACATTAAAGAACCTTCCAAGAAATGGCTCTTTATTTTAGAGCAGTAATGTGGAACTTCCTCTCTCAGGAACTGGTACTAGCAGGTAGCGTTGATGACATCAAATAACTTTCAGATGTCTTCCTCAGGAAGCCGAATATACAGGGCTTTGGAAATTGTTAGAGGGTAAAAATCACAAACCTAAGTTGAACTGGATGGACCTATGTCTTTGTTCAACCTTATAAACTATTTAACTATGTGTGATACAACACAGATGAAATGGCAAGGTATGGATTGGATGCTTTGTGACCTAGAACAAAAAATGTCCTGCCCCTTTAGTGAATAAAAACATGTTAGGTGAATAAATAAATGGACATTTGGAAATTGATCAGCCATGAAACTACCAACTGCAGCCACAATATGTAAGCCCATCATTACACAAGAAAGCAAACCAATGACACAAGGAGTATAACTACACTAATACCTAGTTAAAGCAACAAAAACATTTGAAAGTGTACAATGTCTTTAACCTTCCGCCCGCCCTATAGTACAATGACGGGCGCAAGGTGGTTCTCTCGTTCTGATAGGACATCATATGATGTCCTACCATTCTCACTGTGCATGCGCGGCTCAGGGACACAGCAGATCATGGAAAGAGCCGAAGATGTCGGCTCGGTCATGTGATCAGCTGTGTCCAATCACAGCTGATCACATGTAAACACGGA